AAAAAAGATAAGTGACATGTGGAAGATGCAATAAACCCGTAGACTCACTTCCCTCATACCAATAAAACATCAATAACCTCCAGAGCCTTTTATTCCGCTGAAATGCACTTTGCATTGGAAGCATAGAGCCGTCTGATGAGTTTTAGATATCCTGGTGTCTAATTATTGATTGTCTCTCCCCGTTTAGGCTGTACAGTAAAGCTGTGGGTCAATACGCCTCCTCGGCACAGTTACCTGACAGATTCACTGGCAGCAACAGCAGCAGCTGAATGAGAAATTAAAAATAATGAGAAGCTGCAGGGTAACCAGAGTTCCTGCTGCACGGTTTGTTGAAAAAGAAAGAAGGGGGAAAATAAAAGAAAATCAACAAAATGCAATAAAAAACGAAGTTTAAGCACTTTATTTACAAAATGTTGAACACAATAAAATATAACATTTCAATATCATTAGGGTTTCATAAATTTATGGATATCCAACTGAATGGAATAACAATGGAAGACAAATAAAAAATAGCAATGGACTACACAAAATGACATGCTGGTGTGTATAATATTTGATACTTCGATAGTCTACGTTTTGCTTAAGATTTGACACAAGAATAACCATGGACATATAGTGATGTTTATACACTATAAAATGTCCCATTTGTCCCAGATTTACAATTAGAAATGCTCCTTTTTATATACCAACAACACATTGCGAGTCATAGCATTTTCCAAACCCTGTTTTGCCCACACTTCCAAGTGCACTGATCTGTCCAATCTTACAACAAACTCCACACGTATAAATACTCGCATATAAACGATAAATAATGTGCAATACAAAAGTAATTAAATAATAAATAGGCTATATGCTAGTACAAAAGATTATGCAAATCAAAAGAAAAATACAAAACAATAAATAAATTGGGGTGTGCGCGGGGGGAAATGAGAGCCTAACAAACAGACGAAAAATTTCCCTAAAAAAAATCCTTCTCGCTAAAGATGCGCTTCTATTTTTTGTGATCTACAAGACTTACCTTCAAGTAATGGCATGAAATACTCAGTCAAAAAGAAAAAAACAAAACAATTGCGCATTGCACTTGAGAATAAACAAGAACAAAAAAAGAACTACTGACAACCGGGCTATCTGCTTCTCCGCATCCTCAAATATTCAAGAGAAATGGACAAAGCTGTATTATTTAGAAAATAATTACACAATAGCATTAATAGTAATATCAATAATACTGTAATAATACACACGACTCGCTTGGAGTGTAGTTATTAGACTAGTGAGGTAATAAAAAAAGAGCGCAACATAATCTTGGCACACACACACACACGCAAACATACACGCGCACGCACACACACACACGCGCGAAACCACATATTACAAATGCGTCAGTTTAGGCGCTTCCTGAATCCTTCCCTGAGACGCTTGGTGAGAGGTGAGGTCTGTGTATGTGGGATGGGGATCACAGGGTCCATGGTGGTGGTTTCCTGGGATCTGTGCGGCACAGCTGTAGTCCACACTGGTGGATGAGGGGTGGGGAAGATGGCCGAGGTTGAACATGGGGCCCGAGGCTGGCATGGAATCAACAAAATTCCCACCCACGTAAACGGGGCTGCTTTGCAAATTGGCGTTGGCAAAGCTGCCGTTGCTCTGCATGCCGTGGTGTTCGTACTCGGAGCCCGGGTATCTCTTCTGTTGTGGGATGCAGCCACCCAAGGGTGCCGTGTACGCGGCCAAGCCGTACATATTTTGCTGGGGTTTGGCAAAGGACGGGGGTGAGGGTGCGTCATAGCTGAGGCTGTTCACATTTTGGAGCTGGCCAGAGTATCCAATGTGATTTGGGCCACTCAGCGGCGGGCTTCTATCCGGGGAATGTCCCAGGGGGGAGTGCGCCAGCCCTTTAGACTTCTGGTCCTTTTTGTATTTCATCCTCCTGTTTTGAAACCAGATCTTTATTTGGCGCTCGGTGAGATTCAACAGATTTGCCATTTCCACCCTCCGAGGACGACAAAGATAGCGGTTAAAGTGAAACTCCTTCTCCAGCTCCACAAGTTGCGCGCTGGTGTAAGCAGTTCTGACCCGTTTGGACGCTGGTCCCGGTGGGCTTTTCTCATCACTCACTTCACCACCTGTGAAGGAATCACAGAATTATCTTAGGGTCTTTTGAACAATGTGAGGAATAATTTATAAATTCCATGCACATCAAGACCCCCCCACCCCGATCCCTCCCTACCCAAACACACCTCTACACGCTCACACAACATACACAGACACTACACATACACGTCACCATCATGATCTCTACCTGCGGTGGCACAGTTGTTTGAGTTCTTCTGCTTTGAGTTCTGTCGGGTCTCCTTCATCCAGGGGAATATCTGCTTGGTGAGGGCTGGCGTGGCACTGCTGGAAGCACTGCTGGATGGGGATTTCTTCTTCTGAGATGCAGAGCTGTTGGAGCTAGGGGAAGATGCAGACAGTGGAGGAGCCTGCTGCTCTGAAATACTAGTCGCTTGGTTGTTGTTGTTATTTTGACTGCTGCTTTGTCGCATGCAGTCTCCGTTCAGGTCACTGTCTTTTAGGGCTGGTGGCCGGACTGCAGCTGTCTGAATAGGACAAACTGAGCCCTGGTAGTCGCTGTCTATGTTTGAAGTAGGATAGGACTGGTGTGCGGGCCCATAGTTGTAAGAGTCTGGTTTGGGGTAGGTGTAGCCTCCAAAAAGTCCAGAGTTGTCGTAGTATGTTGCTTTCTGCATTTTGTGGATTCAAAGCCAGTAAGCCAGTGAAGCTTTATCCAGTTGCATGAGTGTTGTTTATTTACGTGATTGGTGTTTCCCACCGCTGCTCCACTCTGTGACCTATAAAAAGAAACATCTCTCACTGTAACGCCACAGAATGTGTGAGATGCAGCGTTTGAAATCCACATTAAACCAAAAGGCACAGCTTGCTTGGCCCAGACTGAAGCTACTGTATAGAGCATTTGGTGCTTTCTAATTAAACAACTAGAGCAATTAAATTAGAAAAGCACCAAATGTCTTCAAACTGTCTATAACAATGCTTCATCTCCAGCTCGTTCGACTCGTTTTTTGGCACAAAACAGTTAAAGTTTAACTTGGACTAAAAGGACCCTCTGGGAGGCTTTAGGAGTCCCTTGCAAATAAGCTGAATCAGCATTTGACACACACGTACACACAATACCCTTTTCAGTAATCACAAGGCCTGACGAAGCCCCTAATGCATTCATTGTTCACGCGCGCACAGGCATTAGGATCGCATGTTGAAGAGCGCAAGAAGCACAACACTAAACTCCTGCACTGTTCATATAAAAATGTAGCTGTGTGAGAGGGTTAGAAAGAGAGAGCGAGACAGAGAGAGAGAGAGAGAGAGAGGGAGGGATAGAGTGAGAGTGAGAGAGAGAGAAAGATGGGTTGGGTTGGGCTGGGTTAAATATGACATTTCACCAGCCTTTACGCACATCTCAAACATTATAATTTGGCTGCTTGGTCGGTTTTCTTCTTAAAGATTTATGTCTAATTATCTTGAAAAGTTATTTTTTTTTAACTTTTGGAGGATATTTTTGAAAACCCAAAAATTATTATTAATTTTCTTATTATTTTACCAATATGATAAAAAGCATGACAACATTTAAAGTAAGCCGAAACAAAAATATCAAAGGGGCCCTCCTGTACTGTATGTTGGTGGCTTTACGAGGTGCAGCCTGCGCCGTGCATAACAATTGCACCTGTCAGTTTGGACCGCGGCAAAATTTATGACCGCAAATGTTATGGTTGTAAACGGCCTGAGAGAGGGGAATGAAAAGCAAAACACTCCTCAAGACTCACAGCCCCTCAGAAGTGTAAAACTAAGCGTAGGAGGAAGGCAAGGGAAAGAATTTCATAGTCGGCGACTTCTCCCATGAAGAGGCTCGGTTTATAAATGATGCCTCCATTCTGGCTTAGTGCGAGTCTACAGCTAAACACAGAGGTGGAAAGCACGGAGCTGTTCTGCTGCTTTGAATAAGGCACGGGGATACTGGCGAGGTCTTGAAAAACTCTACTTTTTTTTTTTTTACTTTTGTTTTTAATTTTCTTATTGTGTGTGCTCTCACTGTTTAATTCCGGCAACGCAGCTAAAAAGGAAATGGGACTTACTGAAATTGGACTCTGGCCTGCGTAAATAATTACACGTACAGGTTAAGATCATCCTTCATGTCTGTTTTCTTGATTTAAGCCTCCTGTGAAACACTGTGAGCGTAAATATGTAGCCTAATAACAAATCACCCTTTCACCTTGTTAGCAGTTGGCTGTGTTGTCCTCTCCCTTCATTAAAAAAACGTTACTCACCGAAATCTGCGCAGATCTGTTTTATACCCCTCAAGCATTCACCACTGCTTCCATCTCGACCTAAAAGACAAAAATAATAACACAAATAAATGTATTGTTATTAGTCTGAGCCCTGCGTTATTTTCGATGCATGTTGTGTTAAAAATGAGTGTCGCATTTTTAGTTGTAGTATTTTTATTTTATTTAGATTTATGTGTAAACTCAAGCTAAACTAAACAATTCTAGATAATTAATTAAAAATTATAGTAACTTAAGAGAACTGAGGCTTTAGTTCCATATTTTCCAGCGTTTTTATTGTATGTCTATTTTTATTTCACATTTTTTTAAAAACCTTTTTCTTCTTCTTTTGCTTTCATTTTCTTGAGAGTGAAAAGTCTGACATGTGCACTTTTAGTACAAAAGAGTCAGGCCAAATATCTAGCACTCATAAGCGTTTTAGGTGACCTTAGGGTCATTCAGCAGTAAGTCATAGTTTAATGAACAACGAACAGTTTGCCTTAAAGAAGAGCCAAGTCTCGACTAAATTCACAGCAGCTTTTCAGCGCTAAGAGAAACAGGACAAGATGCTCGACCGACGGCAAGGAAACCAGAACTTAAAACCCAGAAATCTTCCAGATAATTATATTTGCAGTGAGTGAAAAAAAAAAGAAGAAACAAACAGCTCCTGTTTCATTGCATCTGTCCGAGGAATTTAGCTTCATAGTATCACGATTCAACTGTAGGATTTTTTCACGAGGATTTTCTAAAAAGCTGGTCGATAGTCTGCACCTCGAGTGCTTTTGAGCACACTGAGCTACTAGTAGCAGACATGGTTCCCTTTTCACGCGGCTGTGTTTTTCGCCTACGCGTTGTTACGGTAAGTTTGGTCCACACAATGGGTCGGACTCAATCTGGAGTGTTATTATCTCACTTAGTCGTTTCTTCAGCTTAACCTTTGAAAATCTATTAATAAGAGGGAAGTTTGTATAACTGGAAATATATATATTATTTTTTTAAGCTAAGTTTATAATTTTACACAATGTATTCGCTGCTGTTTTGAAACAACGAAAACGAAAACAAAACACAAATTGCGTTGTTTTTTTTGCAGAAAATTGTATAGTGCTTACAAATTCCCATTTTGTAGCAAAATGTCTGTATTTTTAGTTTAGCTTTTTTTTTTTATCCAGGAGACTGCGCGTAATTATGAGCAGCTCAGGCCTATAATATAAAAGCTGCAGTGCACAAACATTAAATCTTTATCCAAAGTAAAACAGTAAACTGACCAAAAATGGGTGGAAATTATCTCAAATTTGAGTTTATTGCCTTCTGTTCTTAGACCTGCTGCTCATCAGTCCAAAGAGAGAGAAAATATATTTGCATGAGTCAATATTATAAACAAGGAACAAGTTAGCCATTAAGGTATCCAAACATTAAAAAAATAAACGCATTTGCATTGTCCTTGTTCACTATTCAGACCTCCTATCCCTTAAAGCATCCACTATAAATTCACCTATAATATAACGTTGCAGGTTAACAAAGCCATACTATTGAACCCACATAAATCAACGGCAAACGCCAGCGAGTGAGGATAAGACAACAAATTAATGTGATTTACGATCCAAGAGTCAAAAAGAAAAGTTCCTCTCCCACTTTTTCCTCCGAGCAGGTTTTCATAAACGTGAAATCAGCTGAAAAGCGCAACGTAGCTTAGGCTCGATCTGTCGATAATATTTGAACGCAATTTCTCGAGGAAAAAAACTATAATAATGGTAATAATATGAATCTGCTTTTGAAGAGATAGCTTTGGGCTCCATACCCGCGCGTTTGCCGATGAGAGCGACGTTAACGAGCATCGCCTCCATGAATGGAATGAATCATATATATTTCCTTGGATTATATTAACCCGTGGTTAAAGGTTGCTTTCTGCCATGCAATTGCTTACCTGTGAATCAATTCATCATAAAGCAGTTCCCTCTCAGTCTCAGTTCCTTTCCACGTTGTCTCAAGAATAAATCCTTCACCCTTTGTCTGTAGACAATGCTGTCCTAAACCTGATCTTGCTGTTTTTCAGACATTTCCATATACCAGTGGAGACAGTATTCCCGAAAGAATGGAAGGACTCGCATTCAACTACCAATAAAAAGCGAACAAGGTATCCTTATTCCTGAAAAAAAATCACTGGCAATCAATCACCCAGTGAAATATACAGGAATTCAAAAACGGAGAGGCCTGTAAAGATTTGCAGCTAACATTGGGATTTTGGGGTGTTTCGGAAGCTTTATGATGACAAATAAAGGCGCTGCCTTAAGGTACAAGCATATTTGTTCACGTGATTGTTCCCTTCTTCAAGTAAGCCTTACCTCACCAATCCATTTTGATAAAGGGTGGCGTTTATTTCCTCATCTGAACTGTGTGAATGTGAAAATGTTCCTCTGCCTATTTCTTTTTATCTCCTCATGAGCTGCGAGCTTTGCAGCTCGCTTGCACTTCAGCGTTTAAACCCAAGCAGATATGCTTTTGTTTGGGTGCTCAACGTGCAAATTTAGACATCTTTAACCTCCCCCCCACACTGAAGTGCAATGCATGTGCGCAAAATGATCTGTGCATTTTATGTCACAGAAGATTTGAAATTTCCAACATTTATGAAGATTTCTTTTTCTTTGCCTCACTCCCCCAAAAGATAGAAACTAGCGGGGATTTCGCAATAAAACGAATAAAGAGGGCCTCACTCACCATATTTTGCAATAATATTGAAACGTTTTAAAACGCGGTTCTGTGTAATTTACAAACAACTGCACAATGATGTGGGAGTGCGTTTTAAAAAATGATTTATGAAATAAATGACGTGTGTGTTTTTTCTTGCAACTGGGAACGGATTGTATTCAAATAAACCACATTATCATCTCGTGTTTGTTGTGTCTGTCTTCCCACACAGCTGAAGCACAAAGAGGCACGGAGCCAGTGTCTTCTTGCATTGTTTTCGGTACTAACCCCACACTATGCCAAATAATGGCACGCTTTAATACCAGAGAAAATATACCGAAAGGCCAGAGTCTAAGATTTCGAACCACAGAGACGGTTCTCGGACCTCTGGTTGGTTCAGCGGTGGGTAATCTTTGCTAGAGAAGAAGAAGAAGAAGAAGGGATGCCGGACTGTTAGCGTCTCAGCATATGTTCAGAGGGTAATAAAAGTGAAAGATTTACAGTTTTCGCCCGGCCCCCAACAGCCTCGCACCCTTTCAGGGATAACTGAGAATGATTTACAAGGAGGCAGAACTGTCAGCCTGGCCGAACTTCTAGGACTTCTAAGAAATCAAAATTAGATCATCCCCCCACTAACTATAAAAACAATAGAAAATGATTGTGCTCTAAAGCGAAAGGGAGAGATAAATAACTAGGAATTTGTCTTATGGTTAAAAATACAACACCAAAATCGCGATTTCTGCTTCGCAAACAAGACAAATTAATTTTAATGCTTTCTTTAAACATATTCAATTTACTTCAGATTAAAAGAAACAAAAACAACTTCACATTAAATTAGCAAAAATCCGAATTAGACTCTGAATAATGAGTCTATGGGCCCAAAAGAGGGAGCAGACTAAGCTGAATGTGTCCGAAAGAGCAGTTATTCAAAGCGAGCATCCATAAATCCTACTTGTCACTGCCATTTACTTTTTTCACATTAGTCTCATCAGTCCATTTCAAGACATTTGCAAACCGCAAAACTGAAAATTTATGCTACTGCTAATATATTTCATGTATTTATTTATTTAAAAAAAAGAAGAAGGCATGCGTACAGCGACTAGCCACAGCCTATACAATTGCGCTCAGAGCGCACACATCAAAGGGAGCAATTTATCAAATATCACGACATTTGATATCGTCATTTACCAGCTGGGGCAACATGAAAAATGTTGAAATATTTACCTACCCAAGCATCCATCGGTTCAGATGTGTTGCTAAAGTGCGGGACTACAGTTGCGCCGGGAATCGGATATTATTTTCTTGGGGGATCTCTTCAGTTTTCAAGTCTGATAGAGTCCTTGCGATTAATGACGACGCCGTGTTTCTAGGGGGACGTGCTGCATTAATTATTTAGACAATCACGTGGTCGAGAATAGAGAGCGGAGTGGTATAGTCTCTGGATTATATCTCTGAATGCAGACAGCGCACTTTAATATATCTTAGGGGGGTTGTCTGGCTCGGAGAGGCTTCTTGCGAAAACAGCTGGAAATCAAATATGGCCGGATGGAGAGCAACGACGTTGTATTCCTGCACTGGGTGCAGTGTCATTGAAAATGGCACTGCCTTTGGCTCCCATTTATTGCTGTTCAGACATGTAGGTCAGTGTGGCTACACACTGCACGTTGTAGTAGGCTGCTCTGACCTGATAACTGCCAAGGAAACTATGATATTGGCATTAGTTCAATTCCTGCATTATATATCAGACGCTCAAAACACCCAGGTTTTATATTAAGTAGCTAAAAATAATAATAATAATAAAAAAGCAACCTTTGGTTAAGTTAGAGCTTGTAATGTATTTTAGGTAGGTTCTCCCCCCCTCACCCCCCTTCTAGTCGCTTCTCCCCAGTCCCCCCCACCCACCCAGCCCCCCTCTCTCTCTCGCTCTCTCTCTCTCTCTCATCTTCTCCTCAGCATCTATATGGAGATTATTTTTGGCAGGATGGTGGATTGGTAGCATCACTTTGTCTCTGCTTCTCTCCACATCCGTGTGACAAACTTACATTTTATGTATACACAAACGTTTATGCGCGGTGCACGCACGTGCTCAGTGGGCATCAGCCCGTGGTCACTGGGGATGAAAAGTGTTTGGGTGCAAGTTGTCTTTACAAATGCATACATATGGTCACTTTGTTTGTATCCGAGCTGATCCTGTAATGTGAAGGGGTCGAAGGTCGGTATTGCTGCGACTCATCCTCAATAAAGTCTCAGCTTGTGGATCATGGGGGGGTTGGGGGGGGTTAATATTAACCATAAGAAGAATATAGGTATGCTTTAATACCCTAAAGTAGTATACTGTGCTATTGGGTGTTTGTCCCTTCGTTCTAATACAGCTCTAACAAATGTGGCGTGAATTAGTCTTGGAGAAGGACCAACTCCTCTTAACAAGTTTTCCCTGTCAATTTGAGTCTTATGAGGCCACTAGAGATAATTTGTGCTTCCACTGCACAGAAAAGAATCGTCTAAATAACTTTTACGCATTGAATGTGGTTTTTATGGCACAAAAAATAATAATAAATAAATTAAATAATCCCCACTAAGAGTTTTTTTTTGTAAGGGGAGGTTTTTGCGCAGTGCTTGCTCTCGCTTTGTTACGAACTCATGAGTAAAATGAAACGGCAAAGTAAAAAACCTCTTCTATTTTGTTTTATTTTCTAAATAATAAAAATACACGTGTGTGCTTAAATTTAGGACCTTCCAAGACAACAGGCTGAATGTGTGTATCCACTGGCCATTTGGTCCATTTGTAGATGTTTTGTAAAAGCGGCCTTTAGTTCCATATGGTTCCACACGCTTGTAACCCTTAGGTGAAAAAACACTTGGAGCAAAGCTGTCCTTTGCGTCTAGCGTAAACCAAATGGCACCAAATAACGCAAACAAAGAAAAGTTACTCTAAAATTTCAAGCTATCGGGGAAATAATAAATAACCCCGGGGTCGAAAAAATATATGTATTTCTTCTAAATCAAAATCGATCTTGAGTGCAGGAAATAAACATCCCAGAACACACACAGTCTCCCAAATACTTAAATGCATAATCAGTAGAAATCTTTATTTTTTTTTTTATTCAATATACTTCTCACATCTCAATGCACCGTACAAGGTAAAAAGCATGTACAAAAATAAAAACGAAAAGATTGCATATAGACATGAGGAGACAAACGCACAAATCAGAACCTTTTCGGGGGCTTCGCCTGGTATAAATACTGTTTAAACACGTGTAAAACGAGGAATTCAGCGGCTCTTACTTTGAATCAGCTTAAACCTTTTTTCTTTTTCTTTTTTTAAGGGTGGAACAGTCCTCCAAAGCAAAGCGAACAGCGCCTGGGAGAGAAATGCTGCCTGTCCGGCGGGTCAGGGGTGCTGGGGTCAGTCCTTGCGGCTGAAATGTGTCCCCTGGATGAACCTGCCACTGCTGCTTTGTCGACCTTCGGTTGAAATACCTTTTCAACTCTCTCGTCAAGAAGACTTCAGAAAGGAGACCTCCACATACTGGGAGAGCTTCTTGGCTTTTTGTCCGAGGACAAAGACGGTATAAAACGAGAAATATCTGTCTTGAAACATGACCTGAAAGAGCCCCACGGATAGCTTGGTTGTGAAAAAAAAAAAATAGAAGATTCCCATGTTAACTAAGACTAAAACTTTGTATAAGGCCATGCTAATAACGCACAAGAGTTCAAACATATTTCGGAATAATAAAGGTTTAACGAATACTTTTAATTAAATTGTGTGCTATACGAAAAAATGTACACGTTTTTAAACAAATAAATAATGACGCAGAAATCGTCTGAAAAATAAAAAATAAAATACTGCTAAATCTCCAGGATTTGATTATTTCCGATTGGAAACATCTAGTATCAATTTGATGCCATGCAAGAACAAATGATCTTTCATAGGAGAGTTTTAAATGGCACAAGAGAGCCTCTGAAAATGTACACTGTTTACAAAGATGTCAGGAAAGATTTATAAGGGCACTCTGAATAGTATGCACACAGGAATGTCTTGTGTTTGGGAAATAACATTTTAAAATTTCAAAGCTTTTTTGTACAAAATAAGTTAAAACATACAAGTCACAAAAGATTCAGCGGGGATTTTTGAAAAAGGTTGAGGAGTGTTTGGCGTGCTCTATATGCAAATACTATTTCCTTCAAGTATACATTTATATATATATATATATATATATATATTGTGCGTTTTATTGTGAATTTTTCAATTGGCTAAAATAATTTCTGTGCTGAAAGCTGTAATAACTTTTGTGTATGTGCGTGTAATTTGAAATGATCTCACTGTTTTGTTTTTAAGCAAAGATATTTCATTGTTTAAATCAGCTGAATCCACGTGAGAAGAGCAGAGACACTTTGTTTAAATCCACTGAATCGGCCGAGGCTGCTTGATAAATGTCTCCTCAGAGGGGGCAACGTCGGAAAAAGAGGGAAGGAAAAGTTTATTTCGACGTTTTTTTCTGTCTCTTTGAGGAAATTTGAACACAGAAGAGGCTCAGCTTGCAAACCTCTCGGTTTTAAAGACCGATTGATTTTCTCACTCAGACTCGAGGCAACAATGCTGGAGGGTCATGTTTGTTAAATTAAAAACAAAATGGCTAGAAACGACATCAGTCCATGCAAAAGTCAGATGTAACTTTTGTCTTTTTTATATACAGTTAATCTCTAAGGACAGGACCACTTTCCTTTCTTATAATGCTGTGATATCAGTCAGGTTATCCTTCTGAATGCTCTGCAGATGGTTGGAGACTGGTGCAGATCTCCCCTTGGTGTTGGGTAGTTTGTGATCTTTCTTCCATTTCATCCGTCTGTTTTGAAACCAGATTTTAATCTGCCTTTCGGAGAGACAAAGAGTGTGGGCAATCTCAATCCGCCGCCGCCTGGTCAGATACCTGTTAAAATGAAACTCCTTTTCTAGCTCCAGAACCTGCTGCCGGGTGTAAGCTGTTCTGGACCGCTTGGGTTCAGATCCCGTGTAATCCGGGTTCACTGGGAGAAAGAACACAAAAGAAAAACAAAACGAAACAAACAAAAGTCACTAAATGTGGTCGATGCAGCATGCAGGTAGAACATGTGCAGGACAAGAAAATTAGTTTCTCTGTCAAGCTTCATACTTTAAGGAAATTTAAACGGAACTGTCATCAGGAAACAGTGGATTATTTAAGCTAAATTTAACCAGATTTGCTCTAGATTTCATCCCAATTTCCACCGGCTAGTCTGTGTGTTTGAGGAGCTTTTAGGCGCTCACCTAGCGGCCTATTTCCTGAACTATAAAAATTTATGACTTGTGTAATTGGCGAGGCCTTTCAAAGACTCCTATAAATAGTATACTGACTGATTTCTGGATTATAGCCCTCAGTAGAGGAAGAAGAGGAAGAAGAAAAGGAAATCTTACCAGTAGTTACGTGAACTTTCTTCATCCAGGGGTAAACTACTGCTGGCT